CTTAAGCACTTTGTAATGCATAAACTTTAAACACTATGATATCACTGAATATTGTGATTACAGCATCACTATCTGATTTATTAATTAGACTAAACTCACTTTATATATGAGAATATTAGGTTGTTCCTTATTATTCATATTTGGGTTTAGATACCCTTTCCACTATTCTATAATATTTTAGAATGTTTCAGCATGCTTGCACTGTATCACTGTCCTGAATAGCACTAATCATTTATTTACATTTGGGCTCACAGCTTGGTTCTCTCCTTATACAACTAAATTCTCTCCTTGTTCAGGAGGAGGATTGGTATGTATAGGTCACCATGGTGACCAGACTTCACATGACGTCAATACGCACGGGGGGCGGAGCACGTGAGCGGGTGCGCACGCATACCCGGATGTTCCTATGGTTCCGACAGGAGGTGGGTGTAACGCACCTGGGTGAGTTTTATTTTCATTATATGGGTATTATATATTACTTGTTGGTATGCATAATAATTGTTGTCCTGTTATTTTTTGACCCTGAAGAAAGTCCCGAATGGGGACTGAAATATTGGTCACTATTTTTAAACTTCATTAAATAAAATTTAATTTTTTAAAGACCGGTGAGCAGCCATTTCTGTTTGGATACTATATATATATATATATATATATATATATATATATATATATATATATATATATATATATATATATATACACATAGATGGATCTTGAGGAAGACCCTGAGGGGTCGAAACGTCGATCTTATTATGTAAACCTTCTTTTTAATAAATACTTTTCTATTGATTATAGAAGTCCTTAGAGTGCATCTCTTATTTTTGTTTATATATATATACACATAGATACATATACACATACAGTTCTAGGAACAGCTAAGAACGCTGAGACTCCCATGAATTTGGTAGAGGAACCGAGAATGAGGAATACATGCTCAGACTCCCATGCCTTTGGCAGTGAAACCTAGAATGAGGAATACACTAAAATACCACCCAGAGGAGTGAGAAAGTCAATTTATTTTAAAAATATATAATATCCTAATAGGCTTGCACTTGAGAACTCTTATCAATGTACTTCCCAGTGCTTAATCCAGCATCCAGATTTACAAAAACAACAACATGACAAAACACCTTACTGTATACATTTAGCTTTAATTTAAACACCCACTCCCACGATGATAATGTGGAGTAGTATGGTTCAGAAGTGCTAATTTGCTTGTTCCCTTGGCTTAATGTCCTGGGCGTGAAATGCTTTTCAGAGGATACACATTATCAGGCATGTGCACATACACAGTGATGTAAGAAAAACATATGAAGTTATAAAACGAGTCTGGTGGTCAAGATAAACGTACACTACTAGACAAAGAACACTGTTTACATGAAGCAAAAGAGGATGAAGTTGTTTAATTCTATATCATTATAGCACTACCTTCACACTGCACGTTACAATGGTCTAAGAGACATAGCCTTCTCCTGCAGTCTGGTATGAAATAACCAATATTATCTGATATGATTACAATGGCAGTTTGTTAGAATTAAGTACACGTTTGGGATATTAACTAGTGTATACTATTACTGAAACATGATTATATCATATACATAAATAAGCTAAATAAGTTGGGAAATAATACTTAATACATATTTACAAAACTTTTTCACAGTTCTAGTTGAAAGACCTTGAGAAAAAGTGTATGGTGTTGTTTGTGAGGGTGTTTATATTTCTGCTAATTTCCTCAGAGAGGCAAATGACATTTAACCCCAGGGGGAGTATGTGTTATCTGCAACATAAATTAATGTTTAGATATGGGCCCCTGGAGTGGAGCATTCGGGGAGTAGGGGGCCAGGATCTCCACTCCTCAGTTTACAAGTAACTGTGAGAAATAAGGTCCAGGCCAGGGTTTTGGATTGTTATTGTTATAGTGTAACCCTTGAGAGATAGGGAATTTAATGTTAGTAAGCGCTCAGACGAGCTAGGATTTTGTTTGCAAGGATTTCTGTTACATTATTGTTGCTTTCATTTGCTGCTGTCTCCTTGCTGAATTTCAACAATAAAGTGCCTGGATTTATGTTAATTCAAAAGACTGTGCATGTTTACACCCTAGAGAACCGTGCTATTTGCAATACAGGATCGCAGACCTAAATATATATAGCAAACTAAGGTAGTCCCTAATGGTATTAATTTGGGGTTTCAAAATACTTAGAATAACTTGCTTTTCATAATGGACAATGAACAATGACCAATGTATTAAAATTGGGGAAAACATGACAAATAGCAAGAACATTACTTAGGAAGTATCACTGTAATCGTGTGCAGAAAATTGCAACAGTGTCTTCTAATGAATAACCATTTATAACACACCATAATTATGTCAACTAAAGTACATGCATAATGTTTTAACACAAGTAAAATATAACAAGATTATGCATAATAAGTATAGTAATCTGTGCAGAAAGTAATCAATACAGTGCAAAATTGTAAAATAAAAATAAAAATTATAATAATATTAATGGCACTGATGAAGGCTTATTTTTTGTATAAAATGATGTGCTGTGCAGCTCTCCTTTAAACTCTTTAGAACAGAGAACTTTCATTATTTGACCAGCCTTGCTTTTCTGAGTGGTTGGTCTTATTTTGGTTTTTCGTTGATTCAGCTTTCTTTTTGTTTGAGTGGCATTTACATTTAGACTCTAAATCTTGAGTAGGATGTATAAGATATGATATATTAAAACATTTTCTGTTAATTTTTTTTATTTTATTGATTTTAAATAAAGATTTGTATATTGTTTCTGGAGTGAATTTGATTACTTTGTATACAAAATATTAGGCATGCACATAAGGAATATTATCCTGAAAATGTATGTAAAAGTTGTTGGCATAATCATCAGACTCCATTACTTTGCTGCCTTCAAGGGGCCTAAGGATTGGAATTTTGCTCTCAGTCAATGAGGTCCAATTCCTCCTTGGCTAGTGCTAGAAAAGCTAGTTTCCAAGGGACAATCATACCTCTCAGATAGTTTACTTATATTGTGTTTGGTTTATAGGCCTTTCCAAGGTACATTTGCCCTTGTCTTTGAAAGTGATTTAAAGGGATACTATAGGCGCCAAAACAACACCTGTTCTCACTACTCAATTCTCTGCCATTTAGGGATTAAATCCCTTTTGTATGTTTATAAAGCCTTAGTCATACCTCCCTTGGCTGTGACTCACACAGCCTGCATTAAAACAAAATAGTTTTATTTTCAGATAATCAGATAGTAACTTACTTTAGAAGTTTTTATTTCCTGCTCTGTAAATTGAACTTTAATTACAGAGGGAAGGCTCATGCAGGGTCTAGAAGACTATTAACAGAGCAGGAGATACGAACTTCTAAATTAAACATAATGTGCAATAATGGAAGTTTTATTTTTTTTAAATTGTTTTTATTAAGTTGATACTAGAGGTATCTTACTTTCCCAAAATATGTGATAGGAAATAAACATGGGCATGGTAATAACAGAAACAAATGGGTATATCTAAGGCAAAATATGATACATCATCAATCTGTCACACATTAAAATAAAGTGTGTGAGAGAAAGCTGTATATCTGGGTGATATATTTTGTTCTTGCACCCCATTTACTCTTCTTGAGGTGGGTACTGTTTCTGGCGTAAAAGGCTGTAACAGAGTAGACGTCTGTTCAGAAGCATTGTCAGCCATACCCTCATCCAGTGAAGAAAGTTTAAACATTAGAGCTATATTTACAGGAAGTGTTTAGGAAGGCTTTAAAGTCAAGCGTGACTAGGGCTGCATAAACAAAGCAGTATAACTCCTAAATGGCAAAGAACTGAGCTGTGAGGAACTGAGCAGGGTCTATACTCTTAAATTGCCTCATTAAGCTAAAATAATTTTGGTGACTGTAGTGTCACATTAATACCTTATCAAATATGATGGAGTTTAAGTCCTTTGTTGATATTGCTTTCAAATTAACTCCACTATTAATCACATTCCTCATGGCAATAGCCTATGAGATTAGATGCCAGAGGTGTAAATAACTGATCACTAAAGGAGGAAAAAGATTACACTTTATGTAGCAGCTATAGACCTATCTCACTAACCAATGGTGACATCAAACTATTTAGCAATGCTGGCTCAATATTCTTTTACTTTGTATTACACATTCAGATTGCGTAAGATTCATCCTACATAGGAATGCTCTGGACACTACCCAGAGAATACTGAATTTGATCACCCATGCAAGACATCACAGAATCCTTTGATGTTACTGGGTCCAAATGGAAAAAATGTTTTTGATGGAAAGTGTTTTCTTCAAAGAGATGCTACTTTACAAATTAGTTAGAAATAATTGACTTCAATAGGTACAAGTTATTTACATAAAGCATTAGCAAAGGTAATGACAATGGGCACTGTTTCTGTTTCTCTGACTATTGGATGAAACAAGACTGTCCCTCCAAGTTCATACGTTAACTAGGTTTTTTTTTGCCCAAATTATGTGAAACAATATGGACATTAATGGAGTCAGATATGCGAAATGTCAGTAAAAACGTATCCTATTCACTGATGACAACATTTTTAACAATCACATGCCCCCCACATGTCTCTGCCAAACCTGTATGTCATGACTAAAATATTCTCTCCTTTAAAGTTAACAAATCAAAGGTGCTGGAAATCCCTTTATTGTACAACAAGCTAGCTCATATTTTATTAACATTTAATGTCAGATCAGCACTGACTCCATGAAAACTTGGCAGCTAGCATTACTTACAAACAAAATTACGCTCACCTATACAGAGAGCTTAACAACCCCTTAAAATGTCAGTATAATTATAAATATGTCCCTTATTGACCACCTGTTTTTTTTCTTTTTAAATCACTGCTTTTAGTATCTTCCCATATCACGAAATTACAAAGAATACATGTGCTTTGATAAGGAACCAAAAGAGATATCTCATAGACACTTCAATAAAATTCACCAGCAGGTTGACATCAAGAACTTATTATGCTGCATTGCTCCTCTGTCATCATTGCTGTGGATCTTGCTTGCCAATACAAGCTGTGTTCTACCTGAAACAAACTGGCACAAATAAAATACTGGAGATCAAGGGGATTTAAACACTCACTTGCATCAACATCTTTAGACCAGAAACCAATTCTTTATAACAACAAATTTCCAATTGTCAGGCAGGATGATGATTTATAATGTAGATGGCCCAGAAACAACATATGACTGTTAAATATATAAGGAAATATCATTCCAGCTCCCTCAGACATAGAATCTTCCAATTCCTGATGACCAAAAATGTATACAAATAAAAGCGTTCCTGCAGAACTTTTGGGAAAACCATGCAAACCCAACACTACAGTACAAGAATATATTCAATCCTTTAATATTCAAAGGTGGATGAAAAACTAGGAATTGTGGGATCAAGACCTGGATAGTGAAAAATGGAGTGAGATCTTTGGAACTTTCCAACTATAATAACCTGCCTTATAATCGTAGTAAATGACTTCAAGACCATCACCAAATGGTCCTTGGATCCTGCAAAATGAAGCCAAACTATCTAAATACTTTACCTTCTTCCTCATTGTAGGATAATGTGGAGAAACATCACATCTGGTGGCAGAACAGAGAGATCCAGCTGTTTTGGAAAATGGTTGTCTCTTCATTACAGAGTCTTCTAAAGTGGATATCCAGACTCATTTGTATTTTTTTATTTAAAGGGAAATCTATAAATTCATAATTTGTAAAAACTCCTTAAGACTAGTAAAAACTGAGCCTACTACTGAGGGTAATACTACATCGTACAGACATGTTTAGATGCTCTTAGGTGGCATACTGTGGCGCCTGAAATTAAAGAAGTCAGGAGGAAGAGATGTGAGGGTTAAAAGATTAGAAAATGGTTTAACCACTGAAGATAGCAGTGGGCATAGTCACTTCTGTACCATAACAACTTCACTAAGGTGCGAGTATTCCTTTAAGACACTTAGGAGCACAGCATCACAGAACAACCATCAGCCTTCTGCATATTTACATCATACTAAAGTAGCTATGCCATAGGCACACACAATAATGTACAGCCAGTATTAGATACAGACATTCTAGTTAAATAGAGAGTGCAAGTGACCCTTGTTCCACTAAATGAGAAGTCAGTGTCTCCAATGCAGAAAATGATGCCCACACATCTGTAATGATTATTAATCTGTTTACTCTTACTGTTTCATAATATATCTTTATAACCTGCTTTAAGGTTGAAACATTGGCATGATATAAAGTTACAATAAATGGGTTGATAATTAAAACAGAGAACATTTTTGCATCAGAGATAACAGGAACACAAAAGGTTGTAGTTTTGCCTTATCTAAAAGTCACAGAATGCCACAAATTCCACAGCCTTATGTAAACCAGACTAGTTTTCACTTCCTGAGGCTACAGTCATGCCATTTTATACTAATCATCACGCCATACTTTCCCCACAAATTGGGCAAAACTGGGTTTGCTTAATCAATCGAGTATTGTGGAGAATTGAAAAATATATTTAAAGGAACACTATAGGGTCAGGAACACAACCATGTATTCCTGATCCTATATTGTTAAAACCACTATCTAGCCGCCCTGGTCCCCCCTTGCCCCACTAAATATAGTAAATTCTCACCTGTATTCAACTCTGTAGCTGCAGCTTCTGCCTTGGAACTGCCTGCTGAGATCATTAGAAGTGGTAGTCTGAGCCAATCACAATACTTCCCCATAGGATATGCTAGGACTGTCAGGGATGCAGATCAGGGGCAGAGCCAGCACAAGTCAAACACAGCCCTGGCCAGTCAGCATCTCCTTATAGTGATGCATTGAATCAATGCATCTCTATGAGCAAAGTTCAGTGTATCCATGCAGAGGATGGAGACACTGCCCCAGGAAGCACCTCTCGTAGCCATCTGAGAAGTGGCCATGGGAGTTATCCCTAGGCTGTAATGTAAACACTGCATTTTCTCTGAAAAGACAGTGTTTACTGCAAAAGGCCTGCAGGGAATGATTCTACTCACAAGAACAATTACAATAAGCTGTAGGTGTTCTGGTGACTATAGTGTTCCTTTAAAATTTTGGGCCAAAATAACCAAACTGGAAAAAATTCCAACTCATCTATTTATCCAACTCCGTTAATGTGCAATAATCTTCTTATTTCTCCATCATTTCTAGTTTAGTTAATAAATAACCACATTTTACAGCTCTATGCTGCTGATAACCCTATAGAATTTTGATGTTGGTGTTCCGTGATAATGATGGACTGACAAGTACTAGACTGTGAAGCTATTCCAGCAGTTTCTAAGCTGTCTTGCCTTGAGACTTGAGAATTTGGACTGGGTTTGTTTTTTTTGTTCTGCATTTCTTTATTCAAGTAAAATTTCCCTGGGGCTCATAGTAAAAAGTGTAAAGAACTTTGAGAACGATCACCATAATTAAGAATATTGAAAAATAGTAAGGAAATGAATTTGGTAAAATTGAATTGGGTGAAATGAATAGAAACACTTTGAATTAAATAATGTGTAAAGGACAAAGAGTTACTTGAGTACTTGAAGTCTTTGTACAAAGCAATCAAAGCATTTGCAGAGAAAAAACCTCGCACAAACTGTGCATTTTCCTGCTAGTAATATTCAATGCCTTCTCAATGTCAAATGTTCTTTTCCCTTCTTTTAAACAATGGTAAGCTCATGTAAGTATGTTCTGAACAGAAATTCTAGCAGAATGCGAACAGAATGTGCAATCAAAATGACGACAACTGTCACACCCACAGCACACTAGAGGTTTCACTTAGAGATAAGTGCTTTTTTCCCTGTGCATTTTCCTGACTTTCTTTGATAACAGACTGTTCTCAATCAAAAGTAAACATACAACATGTATTCAAAGAATGAAGGTCAATCCAAGGTCATTAAATGGGACTCTCCAGCATTCGAAACTGGAAATGTTTTATAATAATTACAGACTGGTTAATTAAGAAACATATGAAAAGAAACACATTCTAAATAGAAGTTGCACCTGTCACAAGATTTGATGCCTTACTAACCCAGTGTTATGGTTTAATTTTTTGTAAGGCTCCTTTGTATGTATTGAGTTCAACATTAAAATACACTATAGATGCCCAACAAGATCAAGAATCATTTACTAGTATTTGTGTCGATGAATAGTAATTGCATCACAATCTTATGGTTGACTAAAAGCTGTTAGCTATGCTAAAATATTAGCTATGCTAAAATATTAGCTATGTTAAAATATTTTTTTAATTATTTTATTTGTTTTAATATTTAATTTTAATATACATGAAACAAAACAAAAAGAAATAGCTATTGACTATGCTACAAATGTTTGAAATGATTTTAATTTTTTATATTTTATTTTAATTCACATGAAACAAAACAAAACAAAAAAAATTACCTGTTCTCTATTGCAAATCACTATGTGAGAAGAAGAATGGACAGAGCACAGAGAGTCTCATGAACTCAAAGGCAGTAAGGTTTAATGAGGATGACAATTGTTTCTGTTCTGAACCTTCTGGAGCAGAAGGTCATCTTGCAGTTACACGTTGAAAGTTATATGGTATTAGATAATAGGCTTTGAAGCAATTGTATGACACTGTGCGTGCAGGAATAGGGTTGTATAGGACCATCAGAAAAAGAGAGAGCGAGAGAGACACATACACACACACACACACACACACACACTCTCTCGACTCAATATCTCTCTCTATCTCTCGCGACTCAATGTCTCAAGATATATGGAAAATATCATCAGGTACGCATGTTTACAGTTATGTGCTGACTCTGAATAGCAAAAATGGATTCAGGAGAACATTGACCTTATGGAAAATCTTAAGGGCATAAATTAAACGTGTACACCACATGTGGTTTTGAGGCTGCCTTCAGCAGAGACTCTGTCCTCATTTTTGGCATCAACATCTTTAGATGTCAACCCGGTACAGACAGTACAAACCCTCTTAGAAGGATGACAATACAACCAAGAAAGCTGTCAAACTATTCCCCTTCTGCCTTGCTCATCACCAGCTCGTCATAAAGTTTTAACTGCAGAATAAGTTACTGAATTTTGCTCACTTTCAGCAGTGAGCATCAATTAAACTATACCCATGGACCTGGGAGGTCCAGTTTGATGACCTTTGAAAGAAGAACACATAGCTAAAACAAGAAGATAATTTTATACTCAGGGCAGATACTGTGGCCAAAGTATGATTTGTAAACTGTTTTTTTTATTTTTGCTAAATATTTATTTTATTTCAATATTTTTTTAAATTAAACATTATGTTTACTGCACTGTTTCCTTCTGCTTTTGTTATCTAAGTTTATGAGAATAATTGCAAAATCACTCTTGTGGTAGGAGGAAGCATGGTATTAATATATTATGTTCACTGGTGAATCCCCCATTAATCCTTCCAGCTGTCAAAGTGTGTTCTAATTTGCTAATATGTCTTAATAGGTCAATTGTGATAGTCTCATAACTGATATTTTTTTATTTGACAAATCACTTGAATTATATAAGCAGTTTTTTTTATTATTAAATCAAACCCTTGGTTTATATTTGAACACAAAGTAAGCAGAAATTGGGAATTAAAGCGGCACTGTCATGCCGAACTTACCTTTCCTCAATCTCTTCCTCTTCTCCCCCTCTCTCAGGATCTGTTATTCTTTTCTTCCTGTCTTCTTTAGTTTTCTTTAAAATCATAAGACAAAGTAGGGACTCTTTGCCTTATGGAGGATTCCTCCGCTTGACCAGCTCTGACCAGCGGAGGAGCAAAGTGTGCTTCATTTCCGCTGGTCAGAGCAATTTTCCCATGATCCCTAGCTTTCCTCAGTGTTCCCACAATGCTTCCTGTCATTTTACACAAAACTGCCGAATTGCGTTCTAACTGAATGACAACAGTCTGTTCGTTTCTTTTAGAACGCAATTCGGCATTTTATTCGGATCAGAATTTCATTCGAATGAATGAAACTCTGATCCTATTCTTGCTGTGGCTGCATCTTGCAGCCGCTTAGTAGATAACTCCCTAATTCCCACGGTATCAGGGAGCTATCTACTAAAAGGCTGAAAGACCTAAATTGGTCTTTCAGCCAACTTTACTAATACCAAGTAAAAATTACTTAGTATTAGTAAGTAATATGCCCCTACTCGCTATACTGCGAGTAGGGGCATGTCTGGTAAACAGTGAGCAGCCTGTGGCTGCTCACTGTAAAAAAAAACTATTGGCCCCCACCCCTAAACGACGGGTGGGGGCCCTAAAATAAAATAAGGGGGGGAGACCAAATGACCTACTGCCCCCCCCGGCCCCCACCCCTGGGCGGCGGGTGGGGGCCATAGTGAGAATGAGGGGGGGGACCTACTGCCCCCCCCCGGCCCCCACCCCTGGGCGGCGGGTGGGGGCAATAATGAGGGGGGGGACCTACTGCCCCCCCCGCCCCCACTCCTGGGCGGTGGGTGGGGGCCATAAGGAGAATGGGGGGGGACCTACTGCCCCCCGGCCCCCACCCCTGGGCGGCGGGTGGGGGCCATAGTGAGAATGAGGGGGGGGGACCTACTGCCCCCCCCCGGCCCCCACCCCTGGGCTGCGGGTGGGGGCAATAATGAGGGGGGGGGACCTACTGCCCCCCCCCGGCCCCCACCCCTGGGCGGCGGGTGGGGGCCATAATGAGAATGGGGGGGGGACCTACTGCCCCCCCTGGCCCCCACCCCTGGGCGTCGGGTGGGGGCCATGAAGATAATGAGGGGGGGGGGACCTACTGTCCTCCCCCCCCCGGCCCCCACCCCTGGGCGGCGGGTGGGGGCCCTAAGTCAATTACCCCCCCCCAAGGTGACTAGGGGTCCCCAAGCCCCTAGTCACCCACCCCCCACCCAAAAAAAAACAAGTCCCTACCTACCCCCCTCACCCTAAAAAATAGTGAGAATAACTAACCTGTAAAATAAAATTAAACTTACCATTCGACGTCTTCTTTTTTCTCAAATCTTCTTTTTTCAGCCCCAAAAAAGGGCAAATAAAAAAACCATCATAACCGTCGAATTGAAAATAAAATAAAAATCCCGAGTGCAAAAAAAAAACCCGACGAAAAAAAAAAAACCAGAGCGCAAAAAAATAATCCATCTTCACCCATGGAGGGCTCCGTGCAGACTGAGCTCCGCAGAGCGGGGGAAGGCTTATAAAGCCTTGCCCCGCCCTGCAATTAGGCTAAGAACACTCTGATTGGTGGGTTTAAGCCAATCAGAGTGTTCTTTGTCATTTTACACAGCGTGGGAAAAT